GCTGAAGAAGTTTCTGGATTGGATTAGTCACATGATTATAATTATAATCCAGCTATAATCTCCTGTTCTGTTAGAAGGCCAGAAATGTCACCGTCTTCTAAGGCGACTCACTTTGTTGATTCCAGCTCCTCTGTTTGCCGTTTGGGGGCTTTCTGTAGGAGTTCTGTAGCTGTGGGAGCCGCCTCAGGCCGCCCTGATGTGTCGAGAAGCGATGACAGACTGGTGGACAGCTCCTCTGCTGACACCATGGGCACTTCCTGTCCTAAAAGCAGGCTTCTTCCAGTGGCTTCCCTGCGTCTGCCTGGCCTTGGACTGTCGATGTCTTCATGAAGGGCAGAGAAACCTGCGGGAGCAAAGGGAGTCAGGACAAACGGGATGTTTCCACACAGGCTGGATGAAGGTCAGCCGGCCACCAGGGGGCGTACCTTCACTGTGGTCCAGAACGATGGTCTCTTCGATCTCTGCGTACGTGTGTGAAGATGTCTCCTCTTCCTCTGAACGGTTCATCTTGGGTTCCATCAGATGAACAATGTCCATCCGGTTGATTTTGGTCAGCTTCTTTAGAAGTGCTGCTTCTGATGAAACAGGATAAACAAACACGGTAACTATGGAAACAAGGAGGCAGAGTCCTCCATATCCAGGTAAAACCAGATGAATGGAAACCAAATCAACATCCTCACTGCCTGACTCTCAGTTAGAAGAGGAGCAGAAGGGCCGTCTAAGGGGAAGAAGGTGCCTGCTGAGGCAGTCAGACTCGGGGTGGCTGACGAGTCAGAAAAACAGGCGTTCATGATGACCAACAAATGGAGACTCACAACGTCAGATAGGAAGTTGGGGTCTAACCATGCAGCCTGTCCAGTTCTCTGTCAGGTCTGATGGTTGGTTTACTCCTTGCAGGACCAAACCCAACAAGTGTCGTTAGACTATGTTACCACCTGCAGGGGGAGCCATGAGGGGCAGCCTTTGGTCAGGGAACTATTCCAGGACATTCCTCAGACTCCAGAGGAAGGTTAGACCATAGAGTCTGAGTGGACCTTGTTGTCTGCCTCTATTGTAGCTGTAGTCTTAAGATCTAGTTCAGAACCTGTTTTAGGAGGCCATCAAGCTGAGGCAGATCTATAGAGCCTGGGGGGCTTGAGGGGCTCCTGAGAGAGCTGGAGCCTGGAGAAAGACTCTGTTGGCCTCAAAGTGATTTTGGCAAACCTCTCAGCTGCCATCTCTACAGCAGGAGTCTGTGGTCATTTAGAACCAGGAGCACCTCCTCCCCCACAGCAGCTGTCTAAAGCCTGATTAATGCCTGACATGTCGACAGCATCCAAAGCATGTAATCCTAGCACCCATGGAGTACACATGTTCAGATTTCTGGCATGGCGCTCCTTGGAAACATTAATTACTGAGGGATCCTGGGCGAGAAATGTGAGGTAGGAGCAAAAGCTCCTTCTGGCAAGGGTTTGCAAAGGTAAAAACCCATAAATATCTGATGGTTTGGTCTACAAATGTCACTAAAATCAGCAGATTGTTTCTTGCACAGAAATGAATGAAGCTGTGTTTACTGTGGTGTTGGGAGCTAGCGGTCTGTGCCCTACACGGCCCCTTACAGTCTGCCAGAATATTAGGTACAGGGGAAAAGCCGCACAGAGAGTAAAAGCTGCCAAACCCGTGTTCCATGTGGACTGTAGCCCAACCGTAAGGAGAGGGAAGTCTCTGCTGAGACTGCTGACCCCTATCCGGACCCGTTCAAAGAACAAGGATTTAAAATGATTTCAATAACTAACATTCCCAGTGAGGGAGGTCTGCCAAGAACTGAAGAACTTTTCTACAAATGTAGTGTTTTGTAGTCCATGGCTGCACGGTGGTGCAGTGGGTAGCGCTGTTTCCTTGCAGCAAGGATACAGCAAGGTTCTGGGTTCGATTCCCGGCCCAGGGTCTTTCTGCATGTAGTTAGCATGTTCTCCCTGAGCATGCCTGGGTTCTCTCTGGGTACTGCAGCTTCCTGTTCCTGACTGTTGGCTTCTCTAAATTGTCCTTAGGTGTGAGTGTGTCCTGTTTGTCCTGTTTGTCTCTGTGTTGCCCTGTGATTGGACTGGACACCTGTCCAGGGTGGCCCCTGCCTCTCTCGCTCATAGACTGACTGAGGTAGGCACCAGCCCTACCTTGACCCTCGAAACCTCTTAAGGACTACCGACCTGTGGCACTCTGTCCGTCTCTCTCAGTCCAAAGGTTCAAGAGGGCGCGGCTTTGGTCTTGCAGAGAGTTGGGGTTTTCAGTTCGTATCATGTGGATCTTCTCCTCGCTAAAGTTCAGTTCTCGTGCTAACTCTGTATGCAGGAACGACAATACAGGGCATTAAGGTAGTCTGTGGTCACAGGGAGAAAATAGTCTTTGAAATCTGGAAGTTTCAGCTTGAACTCTGACTCACCTGTCCAACTGAAGCCCAGGTGGTCGGCTATGACGGCCAACCAATGCTCACGTCTTTCTGCTTCATCCTGTGGATCTACTGCGAATGAGTCGTCAAAGCCAGAAGGTAAGTCACATTCATAAACACCATATAAAAGGAATTCACCCGCTTTTTTCCTCTTATTCCCACTACTTTTCTAAGAACTTTAAAAGCCATAGATAAGAAACTTTTTTCTGTTCAGTTGAGTAAACTTGAAGAGGTTTAAGGCCTGATCTGACCGATAAACAATCAGTTGACACTTTTACTGTTTTTTTAAAAGCCTTTCAGACAATCAGCAGGTTTTTTTGAGGTCAATCTTGAGATTTTCAAAAACACATAGAAGGAAAGAGAGATGTCAATACAAAGACAACAGAGATCCAGGTACACAGCAACAAGGTATCTTCTACTACAACGGGACATAGCTACAAGAGACAGAGAGGCAGCACCTGAACAACTAGAGCACTAATGAGGTTACAGAGATAGAGAATAACCCCTTCAACTGGGGGGTACCTTGACTTTGGACTCTATCATCTGGAATTCGCTGCATCTGTGTCTCAACTGGGTCGTCCCACAGTGGTCTAATGGGAAAGACGTCTCCTGAAGGTGGGAACTGCAGGTCTGGAAATGGCTCTTTTTCAATTATCGACGGATCAATAAGACCGCTGTCATCGTCTGAGAGAGCCATCGCAGCCTCTTCCTCTGCCAGTCTTGCCACTACTTTTGCTGCTTCCTCACTGATTTCTTCAAAGAACTCTGCAGACTGTTTCTGAGATCTGCTTTTGTCTTTGCCGGCTGCGGTTGCTTGAGGAGACGGGGTGGTTTTACCACGGACGGGCAGCCTGGACTGGAAACCCTTAGATCTTCCAGACTCGACACTCGTGTGACAACCCTGATCCTTTTTAGCAGAGGATCTTGTAGACTCCCCCTCACAGAAGCTCTTGGCTTTGGAAGATTGAGTCTTTGTTTTCATGTCCACAGAAGGACCTGCATCTGTCTCAGATTTTCTCCTTGTACCTTTTTTTACAGGAACCTTTAGCTTTTTGTCCTGAGAGGATTCCCCACGCTTAGAGTCGGTCTTGACAAGGCTAGCCTTGACAGGAATCCTGGATTTAGCTTCTGAGGGGGAGGAGGTATTTTTTCTATGAGCTGCTGAAGGGGCTGTTCCATGACATGTTGAAGGAATCGCAGATTTGGCCTGATCCTGAGGAACAGACTTAGCTTTGGCTGTGCTTTGATTCTTCTTACCGTTATGGGAAGCCCCTTTAATTGCCTGCTTGCCTGCTGTTTTGGGGGCTTCAACCACTGACTTTGTCTCCTCTGGGGAGGAGTCAGAAGACTCCTGGCCTTGCTCGGAATAAACAGATCTAGTCACAGTAGTTTCTGCAGTCTCTACATTCGTTATAGGCTGTTCATTTGAGATCGTTTCTAAATCTAATGACCCTTCATCTACAGTTTTCTCATTTTTAGACTCGAGAGGTTCAGGGGAGAGCAGATCTTTCCTAGAAGCTTTGGTTGAAGCTGAAATGCCCATTTTAGGGATTTTAGACTTGGAAGCATCGGCTCTACAGCCTGACTGATCCCCTTCAGGTGGGGGACACACCTGCGCATCAGCTGATGCCATATCTTCCTCAGTCTTAAGCTCTAGTGTTAAGTTGAGACCTACTGCTGATCTATCTTCTTGCTTGGGCTCCTCTAAGGTAGGTTCCTCTAAAGCCTGGTCTCCTATCTGAAAAAAAGCGAAGCCAGCCCCCTCCTCCTCATAGCTTCTCTTGGTCATATCTATGGCCCCACTGCGGGTCATCTCAAAGAGCTTCCCTTCCTGGAACAGGAAGGGATTGGGCTCACTGGTAGGAGTGCTCTCTTCTGTTGGTGTTCTACCAGGCGTGGTGTCTGGAGTTCCTTGAGACTGACGGTCCACCACCAGATTCAGGATCTTCTGTTCTTCTTCTTTTACACGGGCCTCAAATGTGGCATCATCCTCTCGCATGGCAGACCATGACTCGGCGTCTACTCTTGCAGTGACTCCCTTTGATTCAGTTCTAGGAAGATTTGATGCTTTTTTGCCTCCTTCTGCATCATTATGGGCAATGACCACTTGTTCAGTTTGACTTGTGGGAACTTCTGGACAGAGAGCAGCTCCGGGGGAATGACCCCATCTATCTTCTTTCACTTCATCTGTAACATTGCAGCTTGTATTTTGTGTTCCGGTCTGTACCTTGCCTAAAGCTAACTTCTGACTGCTATTATCATTTTTATGCTCCCTTGACATCTTCAAGCTCTCGTGTTTTTGCTCGTCTGTCCTGTTTTCAATGCTTGAAGTTAATGATGTTTTGTCAGAAACATGTTTAAGGGCTTCAGCAGATGAAGGGACGTCCCCCCATGGACTTATGGATTTTGAATGATGCTGGTCTGAGACAGAGTGAGGTCCCTCTGCTGTGACAGTGGCTGATGTACTCTTGAACTCTTTGCTCTGGGTTCCATCATGCATACCTGCTGAAAAAGGAGAGGGAGGTTGTACTTTAATATCTGAACCAATCAAAACAGCTAACTTTGACTCTCCTGTGCGCCTATTGAGTGGACTTTCAATCTGCCAAAGCTTCTCGCCGCTGGGCTTTAATCTTTCACAGCTGTTATCCCCTATCTTGTCCTCTGTTGAGGAATACAGATAATCGCTAGACTTCCTTTTGCCCTTTGTGTCTTGTTCCATTTCATTAAAGGTTTTTATTTTTGCTGCCATCTTAAACATGTCCTTCTCTGGAGTGATTTTTCCTTTAGCTTCAAGGTTGTCTGTTTCCTCCTGGTCCTCTGGGTCTTCAGGAATAACAGCTGTTTTGAATGAAATACATAGGAATGCATTTTCAGGGAGTTTGGTGTTTACCTCATAACTTACCTCTTCAGAACTAGGGGTATCAGGGGAGAGGGGACTCTTACCCGAACTCGTCATCTGAGATGTCTGCTCACAACTGTCATCATCAGCGTAAGCTTCAGGGTCTCGAAGCTGCCTACCATGGAAAGCCTCATGGGGGAGGTCTTTGCCCTTACAGGGTGGTGTGTGGCTAGAGGAGTTCTTAGGACTGGATGTTGGTGGGAAGGATGGGTGGCTCTTTTGCTCTACAGGACTGCTCTCCAAGGAATCGCGAGGGGGGGATTCTCTGGTTGGACTGGGCTCAATGGAGTCTGGGGATTTATGGGAAGAATTGTCTTCCATCAGAGGACTACCCTCGAGAGAGTCTCTGTTGCTTATTGTCAAAGACTCATCGGCTAATGGGCTGAGGGCATCAGATTCTTGCCTTAAAGGCAGGTTAAATGTTTCATGATGCTTAGATGGGGATCTAGAGACTGGAGAACCAACTAACGACAATGCTACCTGATCATCAGGGCTATCATCATCACTAAGAAAAGTTTCTATGGTTTCTGAAACTCTCTTTGTAAGTTTTTGAGGTTTAGGTGGTTTAGACTCAGTCCTTCTAACAGATATTGACTCACTTGTGTGGTCATCTGCAGCCTCGCTGGAAGAGATGGGTAGTGTCAGTTCTATGGAGACTTGGTCACCAGAGGTCCCTACACCCGAGTCTCCAGACTTCTCTTTGTCTTTTCTAACCTTAGTGGAAGCTGAAGCCGTGGCTGTAGAAGGCTGTTGTCCAGAAAGGCTCTCAGGGCTTGTGCCTGGACTTGCCAGTCCTTCGTGTTTGTAACTGTCCTCTGAGCTAAGGTGATGGGTTCCATCTCCAGAGCTGGCACTCAGGGATTCTGCCACGCCTTCATGTTTGCAGCTGTCAGAGCTATCATCAAGGCCACCATTTCCAAAGTCTACAGTTTCAGTTAGTTCGGAGGGAGCGCTGGGTTTGATTTCTATATCTTTGTTTGCATTTCTGGGGTCTGACGACACGTCTTGACCTTTAGAAGCCATTGCTTTGGTCACAGACTTTGACTGGACTGCTTCAGCTTGTGGAGTTTTGGATGTTTTAAGCTCAAACAACCCAGACTTTCGCTTTGAGGGATCTTGTCCTGTCTGGAAGGCTTGCATTAGCTCTTTGACTGACATTGTCTCCTCGATTTTTTCTGAGTCAGCTTTAGGGGATTTAGGAAGAGGGTGTTTGGTTTTAGTTGTTTCTTTGGCTTTTAGTGGGGATTTAGTCATAACAGGCAAATGGGAGGGCTTGCTACCAGTGGCTTTTTTGCTCTTTTGCTCAGCCTCCACTTTTTGTTGTAAGGCTTTCACTTTGTCCTTTATGGATCCAATGGGAGTTTCTTCAATCACTGGGGATACAGGTGATGGTGGAGCGGGAGCTGATGGCACGCTAAGAAGAGCCCCTGGCTCCGAGGATCCCTCTGGCTGCTCTTCGTCTTTTTCCTTCTTTCTCACTGTTTTTTTAACACCACCAGTTGTGCTGCTTTCATGGGATTTGGCTTGAGCTGTTGGTTTCGAACTTTTCCGCAGAACGATATCAGTGAATTTTTCTGTGCTAGCCGTCTCTTTTTTAGTCTTTACTTTGGAACTTGCAGATGCATCTAGGAGATATTCTTTAAGGTCACCGCTGCCCTTGATGGCTTTTGGTCGGGGAGCGCCTCTCTTAGCCCTACTTTCACGTAAGATAGGCTCTTGAACTTCTAGGGCAGCCATTTTTTTGGCCTCTTCTATCTCTGAGTCTGAGAGGAGAACCCACTCCTCAGCCATTCTGGCTGCTTTAGTGGCCTCTTCTGCCCCCTCGCTCTGATATGTCCCACTTCTCAGTATCTCACTGACTTTCTCAAGGTCCTCCTTGACTTTTTCAAGGTCCTTTTCCATTATCTCTAACGGTTCTCCAGACACTTCCTCTGTCCCCTTCTCTACACCACACCTCCCTAAAGACGGGGATTTCTCTGTGGAGTCTGCAGTCAATATGGCAGTCATTTTAATCAAATCCTGTTTCATCTCTGACACATCGGACAGAAGATCCGGTTCTCGAATCAGCTCAGATTTCAGGACTGATGAATCCGTCTCTTCATCTTCCGTTCGGAAGAAGAACAAGTAAGGATCAAAGAAAAGCAAAAAGTCAAATGAAAGGAGACAAACATTGGAGAAGGTGGTCAGGATCATATTGGAACAAGCTGCAGGATCATAGGACATCATGTTCACAGTGGGGTGTATCACATGCAAAAGGCTTAGACATTTTCAACATCTGGGGAAAAAAATGATGGGAAGGATATGAACAGGAAATAACTTGCTTAAGCTCTCACACCCACACGCACAGGACGAGACTATGAGCTAAATAATGCCCTTAAAACATGAACGACATAAAGGTGAACGAGACAGAAAACAAAGAGGAGACTTTGAAGGATCTCAAGATTGCTCAAATAAAGGTCACACTTCACGGGATGATGGACGAAACGGCTTCAAATCAATGCAAACAGAATAGCTGACTACTGAAGACAGGCAGCGGTTTTCTGCCAAACACCTGAAGGATTAACATTTGGTTCATCACTTTCAGAAAGATTTGAAAAGCTCCAATTTTCTCTCTGTCATCTATTCTGTTTTAATGAAATCTAAAAAGCTACGACACAATGAAGAGGAAATAAAACCGACGCAGTCATTAAACATTCATACAAACACACAAATATGTTAGGCAAGTTATTTCCATGCAAAGCAAAGGGAAGGGAGGATGGAAGGAAATGGGGTGGACAGATTTAAGGTGGACTGGAGCTTAAAGTCGTAGGGAAGAGGCTGTTCCTACGGTTGCATTTCCGAATTCTCCCGAGTGGTGCCCGACTTTACACAAGTGAATAAAGTGAATCTGATTGGTTGATTATCAAGGGGGCGGGATGGTTGTAGCTGAAGGTTCGCAAGCAAGTTTGGTTGTGGACGGTTTGTGGGAAGCATCTTGCTAACCAGTTAGCATCTTAGTGCTAGCAGGTTCCCAATGGGAAATTCCATTGGGACCAAGTAGC